CGTGGTCCCCAGCCCATTGCAGACGTCGCTGTATATGACCTGCTGTTAACAGTGGTTTACGTACTGGTCTTCGTGCAAAATAACCAGTTTGCTGTAATCTTTTGTTCACAAGGGACCTTGAAACGGGCGTTTGAAAGGCATTCTGCCACTCTTTTTTGAGGACACTGGTTGTCTTTGTACGACCAGCACGGCGCACTCTAAGGAGAAGGCGATCCTGTCTTCTTGGTGTGGTACGCAGACACCCTGGTGGAAGTATTGGAGTAGGTGCCCCTGTTGTAGCATTTGTTTGGAGGACTTTATTAACGGTTCCTGAAAAATGTTGAATTGTCTGGCAATGGCTATCCGTTTCTAGCCATTTTCTCTGAGAGCAAGAATCCCATAGTAAGCTGCGTTGCTTAGCTGTCGAACCATATCTTCTCTAAGGTAACTGACAAGTTTCAGAGCGATCCCTTTGTTGCTTCTCTAAATACACTCCAAAGATTGACCAAACCCATGCCCTTTTATACAAGGGCAGAAATTGCCGAAAAGACCACCCCTCACATTTCTGACCACAGATCATGCAACTGCTTACATTAATTGTTTCGAAAGTTGCATGGTAATTAGGTAACACACCTGGCTACACATAAAGTGACAATTTTGGATTTAAAATAGTTGGAGAGTAATGAAATATTTTGTAGAACATTTTCTTGACAAAAAATAATATTCCATATTAAGTGGTAACCCTGTATATTACATTCCGGTAACAATTGAATGTCTCCGTGTCTCACTTGTTGGTTTCTCATTCCTTTCTGTGACAGATGGAGAAACATGTGTTTTTAATTCGTGTACATAATATGGCGCCATAGGTTGCACATTTTAATAAATTTATTAATTTGCAGATTTTGAAAAAAATACGCCCTCTAGAGACATAGAAGTAAAGCTGTTCTATGCCATCGCTGTTAAGACCAGCATTTTATCTTATCTAGGCGTATTTTAAAAAATGCTCTGAGAAATGTTCTAACGTGTAGGATGTACATTATATATTTTACATCAGTTTTAAATAATCAAATACATATAATACTTATATTATCATTTTCCCATACATCTATTTTTTAAAATGACCATAATTGTCGTAAAAAAGCATCATCAATTTTCTCATTCACCAGATGAAAAAATAATGAGTTTCTCAGCCATACTTTACTTTAACGACGATTTCTCTTCGTACATAATGAGTCATATTGCTTGCAAATATTGTCAATTTTTTTTTTTTTTGGATCAAATATTAAGGCTTCGTGTATGTGATGAATAGGGCAGTTTAGCATGTAAACGAATGAAAATAATACCTTATATGGAAAATGCAAAATTATACTGTACATTAGGAAGTATTTGTATGTAACAATTTCAACAAACCGATACTTCAGCCGCCAACAAGGCACTTTATGTAAAGATCTATAGATGAGAGATACATGCTCGATGTACACTGTGTACAACAGGCCTACCTAACTACCAGACTCGGCACCGAATGATCCTGAATTCACCGGTAGATCAGACCACACTACCCGTTTTCAAGGTGTGTATTAGTTCGCATTTCACAGTATCAGACGCGACACCGCTCTTGCCTAGTAGGCGATGTGATAGGGACGATTCTCAGCGGAGTTGAAAAGCATTGCATCACCACTCAAAATTTGTTCAGAGTATGATACATTGAAAACGGGTAGTGTGGTCTGATCCACCGGTGAATTCAGGATCATTCGGTGCCGAGTCTGGTAGTTGGGTAGGCCTGGTACAACGTACATTAAATTAAATACATCCCATGCAAATTTACAAAGGTGCGAGTGTTAACAAATCACATTGGTTTATGTACGTCAAATAATAATGATAAATAACACTCTCCAAATTCCCATTTAAGTGCAATGTCACCAACAACAATTATGGCAAGGCTATCAGAATACAATTTAAAAAAATACTTTTTTAATTTCAGACAAGTATTTTGATATAAATAAAATTTAACCAGAGAGATGGGCAAATTCTGTATTATCTACTCATTTGATCGACAGAAGAGGGAAACGCGTATGTTATCAACAATGGAGGCGCTGATTAATGACGCTAGAGAGCTGTTTGGTATGTACACACGTTTGCATAAAGGGGATTTCTGGTTGGATTTTTAGGATATACAAATTACTGTTGAATTACAAAATAATCAAGAAAATGAATCATATCAGGAGACTTCGGTTCGGAGCCTAAATACAGACTAAATACACAAAAAGTGTGTGTTTGTGTGTGCGCGTGTTGTAACCCTGAATATGTTAGAAATCATGCAATTATGTGGGCCAAGTAACAAGTGCGTGAGCTGTATGAAGGCTTCGTTAGTACACTACCTACATGTATCATAAATTTGGAATGACTAACGGATGCTAATATGTCAACAAATTCGATGGGTTTTCTATTTGATTCCAATATGTATTCTGTCTCTGTTAGGTTATGGAGAAGATGAAAATCTTTCCGTTTTTTTGGAAAGTGAAGGAGCTAGGGTATCTTCAGAGGAAATTTTTCGAGCCATAGCAGAAGAAACCAATGGTAGAATAGTGTTGATGATTCTAAGCCAGACCCGGGGAGAATTTTGGAGTCCGGCGGAAGGTAAGTAAAAACATATACGCTGTCGAGTGTGAATGTTTTAAAACTGTACATGTATTATCACTCCGTTGCTGGGCACTTAAATGAAGCATTTTAAACATTAAACTGGTATCCTACCGTGAATGTTAAACGAGAGGTTTTTTGAATGGATTATTGAAGGCGAATTGATTGTTCCAGTGCCAAGTAAACTGACTAGTCTAAACATACAGACAATGAACATCACCGAAAGCCAAAAGATCCAAGTAGGAGACAACAACCAAATTTTTCAGACAGATTATACCAGGGATGTTGATGGTGTGCAGGATGTCATGTCGGTCCAAGGTAAGTACTACCAATTTCATGGGCGGATAATAATGATAGCGTGTATATATTTTCTGCCAGGTCTCTTCCCAGAGCGTACTCTGTCATGTTCGTTCCAAGAGGGTGAGAAATGACACAAACTCTGTCACAAAGGTGCATGATGCATGCATATTATAATGTAAACTTCTAGTATATTCGCCACGCCTCCTCTTCCCTTCTATCCCCCAGCTCAAGTTCATAATTATATTACTGCGGCCGTTATATTAAAATAAACGATCTGCAGAACTCCATTTCATTAAAAAATCTATTTTGTCTGATATGAAGCAAATAGAGTAATATATCGAGAATACACGTAATACCCAACCACAGTTCTCCATCACTCATTTATTTTTTTGGAAAATACTAGTATCGGTAAACGTAATCTCTTTTTATACAATAAACGTAGTTTAATTAACATTTTCCAATTACATGAGAGAATTCTATTTCGTTTTGGGTTTAAAAAGAAAAAAAGATGATGTCATTGTACAAAACAAAATTCTGCTTGCCTTGATTTATGGAATTAACTGACAAAGAGAGGGGGTAACTTTAATGCAGCATTGGGAGACGGAACATTAAAGCGGTTATGTATGTATGTTTTCACAAACGACTTCATTCAATATAGGGAAGTCAAATTGTTGGCATTATGTCATGATCAGATATTGCCATGACAAAATTTTCTATGGGTGCCCCATACATGTACTATCTTGATATGCGATCATTGAATATTGACATAAACATTTATATTGTATCAGAAACCACTCAAAAAGTTTTTACTTCATTATATCGAGTTGATCAGCATTTTAAATTTAACATTATTGCAATCTCTAAGTATTATTTGCTTATTTGGATAGATTCTATCTCAGAAAATCAGTCCGTACTGGAAATCAATAACGAAATAGAAATTAAATACACAATACCCTTGTTAGGCTCTTAAAGTAGCTCGATCAAATGACAAGACAAGTTAGTTTTCATAGTATGCATGGTAGACATGAAGCATAGCGTATGGCTGCTTGTGTCAAAGAAGAACATTTATATTAAATACCTTTCCTTTATTTCAGCAGAAAACACGGAAGATATTTCAGTGATAACTGATCCGTTACGTCGCCTGTATGCACTGATCTCACAGCCTAAGTTTTGGTACGAGCTAGATAGGACTGCCCGCCAGGTGGACAGAAGCGAAGTCCTTAAGTACAGGGATGATAATGGATTCAATGTTCTACACGCTGCAGCGTTTCACAATAACGAACATGCAGTTCTGACAATATTCAGACATTTTGATTGGGCGACACTTTCCACGCAGGTCACAAGCGGCACTCACACTGGTGAGCTGGATGGTTGTACTGCCAAAGAGATAGCTTTAAAGAAACATCACAAGAGTGTGGCAGACCGAATTGATTTAGTAGGAAAAATTGAGAGTGAAACGAAACCAATTCACAAGGTCATAAGAAATAAGAGAATGGATGAGCTAAAAAAACTCTGCACTCGTGACCATAATTTGGTAAAAATTACTGACTCAGATAATTTTACCCCACTGCACTATGCCGCCGGTGTAGGATTCCTAGATGGCGTGGAGCTGCTTTTCAAAATGGGTGCAGACCTGAATGCTGTCACAGATGGTGGTGAAACAGCCCTGGGTCGTGCCTGCAGGATGGGGTACGATGACGTGGTGGAGTACCTCACTGATCTAACGAACATTGACATCAAGAAAAGTGTTTTTAACTATATGGGAGACTTAACATGTCTCGATGCCGCAGCGGAAGGCAACTTCAGAGATATTTACAACAGGCTACAGCACCACGGTTTAACTGTGACCAGCAATACCCTGGTGTGTGCCGCACGGGGCGGTCACCTCGAGTTAGTGAAAGAAATAGCAGCAATGGACGGAATCGATGTTAATTATCAAGACAAGTATGGGAACACAGCTCTGATTGAAGCATCTAGATATGGTCATGTAAATGTGGTTAAGTGTTTGATAAATGAACATAAGGCAGACCCCAGTATTCAGAACAAAAACGGAAACGCTGCTCTTCACATTGCAGTTCTCAATAATCCCGGCCTGGGCGTCGTGGATTGTCTGTTAGATGAAGGTGGTGCAGATCCAACCATCCTAAATAATGATGGAAAAAATCCAGCACACTGTGCCGCACGTTGTGGACAAGTACAACATTTGGATGCCGTTCTGAGAAGGATTCGCGGACGTAGGATTGATCCAAATATTCAAGACAAATACGGGAACACCGCTCTGTGTGAAGCATCTAGATATGGTCATGTAAATGTGGTTAAGTGTTTGATAAATGAGCATAAGGCGGACCCCAGTATTCAGAACAAAAACGGCAACACTGCTCTTCACATTGCAGTTCTCAAAAAAGTCGGCCTGGACGTCGTGGAATGTCTGTTAGCTGAAGGTGGTGCAGATCCCACCATTCTAAATAACATAGGTAAAAATCCAGCACACTTGGCATCAAGCAGTGGGCAAGTGCAGTGTTTGGATACCATTCTGAGAACACATCCTGGATTGATGAACAAACGAGGTAATCTCTTAGGGAAGGTCTATTTAGTGCGCGGTAAAAATGGAGAAAGACCCGCGTGGCATTATGTTCTGGTGAAGAGGAAGCTTCTTGCGGACTTCTTAGTGAAAACAAATGGAGGAAGTTTATTAGATGTGGCAGATTACGGAAAGGTGCTGCACTCAGGATGGGGAAAAGATCCCCCCGATGACATCATAAAGAAGATTGATGACAAGTACGATACGTGTGAAGTTTCTGCACCAGAGGATCTAACCCCGCTCCACCACGCCGTTCTAGAACAACACCCCGCTGTGGTGGAGAAACTTCTGGAGATTGGAGCTGACACAGACGTGCGCGATGCGTATAAACTGACGCCGCTGCATTTGGCCTGTATGCGCGGTAACAGAGAAATTGTGAAACTACTGGTGGAAGCAGGGGCGGACATCAAGGCGGCAGACGACGATGGCGACACCCCACTGGACATGGCAAAACTCAACCACCAGGATCTCACTGTTAATATCTTGCAGAAGGTGGAGATAGTGAAATTCTTTAGAGTAAGTTAACGACTGGTACTATATTGAGTGATAAACTCAATCAATAGCAATAGTGCAATATATTTATATTTCCCCCTAAGCGCCAACACTTGTTAGTGATGCAATGATGATATTTCTTTGAATTTCCTTAATACTGTTTAAGATATTAAAATTATCTGAAGTTTGGTGGCGTTCTAATCCACACAATATTTTACTATGTAAAGTCTGTCATTTTCGATGGTGCGGTAACAAATTTAAAAACTTAGTGAATAGATAGGCAGAAAATACACACATCTAATATAAATTATTTGAAGCACAATGATATGTAGCCAGTGAGTTGAAGATTCGAGAGAACTTTTTTTTTATCTGGGAAATATCCCCTCCCTTAAATATATCTAGGTACATAAGGGTTATTTGTAAAGGGTCCACTTTTTCATAAAAGAACTCCCCCTTTTGAATTTGCTGGCTACGTGCCTGATATGCGTTTGGATTGTGATAAACAGTATGGTATGGGCTTGTGAGATAAGTTAATATTGTATAATACTCGTTTATTACCGGGCACTTTTTGTTCGAAACTTTCCCTAATACAACGTTTCCTTCGTTAACTTCAATTTTACCAGAGCGGATATGTCAAGGACTTATTCTTGAAGAGGGATGCCCAAAGTGAAGCGTTTATTTTTCTCACAATTTAATGCTTACTGTGGTCTTCTTACAGGATAACATTCAAAAACCAGTAAAGGAAATGCATGATTTACTAGAACACGGCCTTGACACTGATATATCAGCTCTTGGCTTGAAGACGCAGCTTCAAGACATAAGTATGCATGTTTGTTTTCTTTTTTAATCGAAAAAAAAGTTTTCTTTTGTCATATAATATTTAGTAGTTAAGCTTGCGAAACTCAATAGCCAACACAAACATTTTTGAGAATAAGACAGAATAGGACGACAGTATACTACTAACTTATTATTTATTAAAAACATACTACACGCACAGTTCTGAGTTGTCCATGTTATGCACTGTGACGATTTAAATACCTGTGCTTTGTTCACCTACAGATACATGCATTTTCTCCTGTATTTTAGTTTTTAACTTCCAAAAAAATGTATTGATGTTTCAGCTGTCCATTTGACGAACGGAGGGATTGAATGCCTGGCAAAGTTGAAGTCGGCTGAAGATAAACCCAAACACCTTAAAAAGGAAACTGCTGCAAGAAGCAAAGGATTCAGTGTCTCGATGACTAAATATAGGGGTGTTTGTTTCTCTATAATGTACTTGGTTGTTTGTGAAATCGGTGCGTATATCTTAAATTTGTGAACGGATTATATAACTCTTGAATTGCAACTAAAGGTTACGAATTTGCATGTAACTATTTGAATATTTTAGGAGTACGCTAAATCACTATCTAAAGTATAGTGTCCAAATACAGACTTGACATTTAATATGGAATATTTTAGTTTCGAAGGTATACCTAGATAAAAATACGTTCTTTTTTCAAAAAACTCCGATCTCATATAAGATTTGTGAATGTAAAAGTGTGCAGTCAGGTGTGTCACTACCAATTAACTGACTTTCATGCCTGTTGCGCTGCTACATTATGTAATTTGCAGTGATTTAATTGGGTAGTGTTCCTTTGGGCTGATCAAAGCTTGGCTTAGGCAAAGCTTGGTTCTGTCAAAAAAGTATCCATATTTCGGCAACTACTGCATAGAAGAATTTGAAATTTTGCATGCAAGCGGTCAGTTTTGCAGTGCGTAAGACGAGTCAAGTAGTGCATTACAAATTTGTTAATCTAAGACAGAATGGCGCGAAAAAGACAGACATAACCAGACAGATCATAGCGCCAAGCGGAGCGGTCCCCACAGTTTTATAGAGTAATGCCCAGACTGATGTACCTACACAGAGGTCACTCCAATGTATCAAAATTTTACCTACAGGATACAGGACCCACTGTCTTTCGGGATACGCTGGTGCAACTAAACAAAAAACACTTAGTCCGTTCAGAACGAGGGGTAAATTGCCACTTAAATGCGTTTTTCAAAGTCCTTAGCGAACACCAAACTGGTTTTAGCAGGTAAGAACACCAAATGACCTCCGAGGTACCCACTGTATACAGCAAAACATCGTCGTCTGTTTCTCTAATGAATTGGGGGCTGTAATAGAAAGTCCGCCTTCCATTTAGTTATAATGGTTAAGGTTAGACTGACCTAAGTGAGTTAAAATCTAAGGCAAGGCTTACCTATAAAAATGAATGGGAGAGTTACTTTCTGTCATGGGGAGCTCACTGTCACGCTACACAGGAAGCGTAAAATCATACACTTGAAAATATTTGTACGTAATATTTAAAGGGCCACTCCAGGGAAATTTCCCTCCAATCCTTTGAAAATCCCCTTCAGTCACATTTATGTTCGTAAACCTGATGTTTACCTGTTCAATCTCTGAAGACAATTAAACCCTTTAGATAAAAATTATTTGAAGCGTACCTTATGTCAGGCTTCTGGGGTAGCCATTGCCAGTTTGAAACGTCTGTATTCAAATACACGGCACTGGGCTGCAATACAAAACACTCCGCCATTTCTTATGTGTAAGCGAGACAGTGCATGTGACAGCAGATGTCAAACATCGAATTTAAGTGCAGAGACTGGTCGAGCAACAATTGAGGGGTAGGAGTTATTTGCTGTTTACCCCAAGAAATTCATTATGGTTGGAAAGTTCCGTGGAGAGGCTTTTTAAATAAATTAATATTTCAACCGTCATTAAAGCATATATATATATATATATATATATATATATATATATATATATATATATTTTTTTTTTTTTTTTTTTTTTTTTTTTTAAAGATGTAAAGATGAAAGGGGCATGCTACATGTTTATATGAAATACGTATAGCTTACAATAAACGAAATACGTCATATGCACTTTGTGTTACCAATTTTTAACTTTTCAGCTAGCAAAGCAGGTTGGTGAATCGCCTCATTTTTCACCGTGTGATGCAGACGCATTCAATGGTCAGTTCGAACACATAAAATATTTTCATGTCTGACACTCTGCTCGGTTGTTTTATGCAATGTCTGAATTTTGCCACAATTGCAAATGTCCTATATGATAAAGCTAGTACAATTACAAGTCATTCAATATTCACTGTAAATATACAGTTCATTATCTACCGTGCCGTCATCACAACTGTAATTTTGCACCGTGGTCTTTGTGTCGTCGATATCAAGGTTGGAGGCGTAGATATCATTTTGCACCATTTTTACTAAATCACACATGTCCTCTTCCGTTGGTTTTTGTAAATTTATGTCACTTTCACAACCATGGGTGTTCAAGTAGCCGTTATCGTCTTTGTTTGAAATCACGTGTATACAGTTCGGTGCGGCAGCATTTGATTTCGAGCTTGAAAGCTTGGAATTATTTTCACTTCCATCTTGGTGCCTTTTGATTGTGACATTACTGCATCCTTTCTCGCCGTCAAAGCCAAGGTTTACATATTCATTGTTCGCGCAAGAATACTCCAGAGAATAAGATGGGCTTGTCATACTTGTGCTATCTATGCCTTTCTCAGGTGCAGAAATATTGGCTGCTGATCTGGAAAATTACATGAATTTATTTACAATGAAAGAACATACTGTATACAGCAAGTATACATATACATGTGCATGTTTAATTACAAGTTTAAGAAAAGTAAAATTCATGTAACTAAATGCACCACAAGTTTACAAATAAGATAACCATGTTAGAAATCGCGTGATAATTTATGCAGAGATGGTTGAGTTCATCTTCTAGGTTCTTAAACCTCATGACACTGGGACGATGGCCATTTTCTATTGTTTGTCAGGGTACAAAAAATCATTCTCGACAACTATCACTTCATAAGTTTTGGTCAGCCAGATTTGGTGGTCAGTTGATGCAACTATTTAGATAGGACTTATGTCTTTTTGATACTTTTGAAAAGGCTTCATTATATAAAACTCTTGGCTCTTAAACAAGTTTTATTAAGATCTATGCGTCTCTATGTTGTTGTAGCGTTTAACTTTCAGGCAAATATCTTCTGTCGGTGCAGGTGCTTAATGGGGAGGGGACATTTCCTACCTCTTGCTGTTTTTATATTTATACCTCGTACAATAAGCGCCCACAGACAGTTTAAGCTCAGACACAAATGTTTTATAATTAATTCAGATCTTAAGTCTTAATATTTAACGTGTGCAAGAGTAGCCTATATAATACCTTCGTCGTAATAGCAGTAGTGCTAAGACCAGAACAGTTGCAACTATAAATACAACTCCCACAGAACACCCAACTGTAAGACCAGTGCTGGCAGGTCCTGTAATAATAAAACATTGAGGGAAATCAGTTATTACAAATATAATTTAAGAACAAATTAATGGAATACTCACACGATGTAATATTAGCATACCTCCAATAGTTCAATGGCGTTACATATTTAAAAAAATATCAAATATATATCTGAGGTGACGCAAAGGTTTCCTGTTCTTCAAACCTTATACAATCATACACGTAATAGTATAACAATTTGATATTCACTTGTACTTATTCTAAGTTTTGGTAACTAGTTGTGATGTTAAGGACTGGGTGCAAATTAAATGTAATTTTGTAAAATATATTTTACCTCCAGAAAAAGCAGCTGCTTTGGCGTGGTTGGTTTTGGAAGGTTCAATCAACATTGTCTTTGACACTGTCGTTGCTGTCATTTTTGCAATTGATTCAACTGTCGATGTTGCCTGTAAAAATTTTGTGGACGTTTTCCTTGCGTCCGTTTTAACTGCCGATGTTGCCTTTGACAATGTCGTTGACGTTTTCTTTGTAGCGGTATTAACCGCCTGTGCTATCTTTGACGCTGTCGTCGATGCCTTTTTGGCAGAAGTTTTGACTGTTGTTGTTTTTCTTGTTGATGTCGTCGTCGTTATTTTCTTTGTTGTTCGTATCGGATTTGTCTTGCTTGTCGACTGAATTGGATTTGCCGGTTTCTTCACAACCAGTTCTTGAAAGAAACACTACACGTATATTAAATCAATAACCGACAATTGAGAAATCTTGCCATTCATGCCCGTTCTATTACAAAAATACCATTATATTACTGTAATATTACAAAATCAAACACTATTTAAGTGCTGGCGACAGGCCATTGACACGCAGTTTCCTACCACTATCAATATTTGTCTTTAAACATGTTTTGCCCGGAGAGTGGCACGTGCTAATANCCTACAACAAAAATGGACCAGATTGGACAATTTTAGACCGATGCTTGGAATGCTAATCCAGATTGAACTCTAAAAACCTACCCCCAAGAAATGCCTTGCCCTTGAGAGCCCTGGCAACAGCCACGAAGAGGCCAGGCGTAACAACGACCATTACTGTGACTAGCAACTGACATGAGGGTCTTTTGTGGAGCGTATTACCCTTTTACAGACGATAATTTGGAAAAATATGGAGATCCAAAATCTCTCTTTTAATGGGAGTCGTATGACATAGAATAGGCAATGTCTTTTTGTTTGCTTCTCTGGCGAATTCCATTAATGAACTGATGTCACAATGACATCAAAGAGATAATTTAAAGTTATTAAAACACGATTTTAATCCTTATTTTCATTTATCAGTCAGCAAAATAGGAAAAATCTGATAAAAAATTATTTCGAAAAAAATATTCCATATTAAATGTCAAGTCTGTATAATTAAATCAATGATGCAAGACTGAGAAGATCTCACATAGCATTCTTCAAACTTTGAAATTTTAAACCTAAGATAATATTGTAACTCATATCTAAAAATGAAAACAAGTCAGGCTGGCAACTTTTTTCTCGCACTATTGCGAGATACAATTTTTGCTCCATTTTTTTCCGAAGTTCTAAAATAGTGTCCGTTTTTCATTCATAATTAATGCTCATTAACGTAATTCTCTGATACTTCGAGTAAGATTGCGTGTTTTTCTACATGCCTTTATAAAATGACTGCACAGAGTGACCTAGTTTGATTTTAAAAGAGCTTTATTCGCAAGATATGGTTTTTCACGTTGGCCATCGCAAATGCCACGAAACGGCGTTATTCGTGACGGCTGCCATCTGACTGTTTGTGCATTTCCCAGAGGGAAGTGGGGGGGGGGGGGGGCGCTTCACAGCAAGTGACCAAAAGTCACTTGTAATTGTTGTCACTCTCACTCTCTTTAATTATAAGATACTTCTTTTTCTGTCACCTGTATTCTCGGTTTTAATATTAATTAATTGCTGCCTAGATTAGTAATCTGAGCACCTTTCCGTTAAAGATAAAGCAGTCATTGAACCATATTTGAATGCAAATTTTTAAAACATCCACCTTCCTTAGTATATAGTTGGTTCTCACTGAAATTGTACAGTCAGTCCATGTTGATGATGACCACACCTTTCATTTCAGCTACCCTCAACCTGATATTCAACACAATACCTCAGGCTGCGAAGGACCAGTGTCTCAGCTCTCAGGCCAGAGTGTTAGTTATGGACGTGCTGGAGGCCAGGGCCAGGAAGTGGCACCCAGGGACACTATAGCAAGAAGCAACAGGAGACGGCTCTCAGACAGGTGAGTAGGGTGTGGCTAGAGAGAGGGTGTGGCATTGGGAGGGGTTAGATATCAAGAAACCTATATACAATTAGAAGATAGTGGGAATCTCCTGGGAACCTTACAGCCTTGTCCTGTAACAGGTGATATTTGTCCGATATACTGAACTTGCTTCCAGCAAATCTTACCTTCACTTATCACATGGGACCGTGGACTTTCATTGCTGTATATAGGACCCCATTTCCATAGACTTTAGATCGATCTATCCCTGTGGAAATCTCACTAGATTACTGTCAGCTTAGCCGGCTTAAGCGTCTGTCCCGCCTACTAAAAGCTGCAAAGGGGTAATTAACTATGGTGCGCGCTCGTCTGACTGCAATTTAGCGTGAACCCCCAGGGAGTTAGGTCGATCTAAATTTTAATCCCTGGATCGATCTAAATCTCTGGAAATACACCCCTAGGACTACTAATCTTGTCAGGCAGTGACAGAAGTTAGAAGATGGCATTTAAGGGAGTGTTGTGACATTGGGAGGGGCTAATACACAAGATTACAAAACAACGAAATGAACAGCACCAGATGCCATCCACAGGGGGTGTGTCAAGGGGTGTGTCAATGGGAAGGGATAGTTTAAAACCAAATAAAAAATGGCACACAGAAATTGTTTAAACAGGTTGTGGGAGGTACGACATGATAGCAAGAATTATGGTACACTAAGCTATTGATCAGAGATAACTTTCAGTGTTGGAACTTTATTTTCTGATTTTTCAATTTAGAAAATTTCCAGACCCAAGTGTGCCAGGCTCCGCTCACATCCCACCTGTCATCAGTCATGTGAGACCATCTCTCCAATCAACTGTCAATGTGGATACAGGGGGTAGTCCAGTTATTATTACAGTTAACATACGCATAGCACTATAGCCTACTGCCAATATTAACTTCTAGATCTAGTACCAAGTGCACACACTTACTATGCAGTGACTGTATACATAATGAGAAAGCGCGCGCGCGCGCGCGCGCGCGTGTGTGTGTGTGTGAGAGAGAGAGAGAGAGAGAGATGCCAATTAGTCATATCCTTTTATAAAGAAATGATATTTTAAGAATGCAAGGAATTTATTTAAAATAGAAAATATCATATATTAACAATGAAGTGCATTTATCTAAATTAGAAAACATCTTAAGAATAAAGTGCATTTTTACACTAAAAAAACTTTAACTAAGTAAAAAATTCCATGCACTCTTTTCTCTTTATCTGAACTGCCTGTATTACTTTCTCAGGTCTATTTCAAGCATTTGATGTGGTTCGAAGAGTGGATTCCAGATCAAACAATGTATAATTCAACTCTAAATTAGCAATTAGACAAAATGACAGCTGCTCCAAACAAGGAAGTCAACAAGCAAGTAAAAGTTCAAGGCTCCGTTTTCGAGGACAGTTCTATACCAATTTCAAGGAACAAACTATTAAAAGTTTAAAGTTCTGCTGAAAGCGGATGTTTTTCAGAAATGTAATAACTTCAAGGACTATAAACAAACCACCCCATGCGAAATGACTTTCCTCATAAATGTCACTTTAATTTCAGCAGAAACCACAAACGTTTTTCTTAGAAGAACCATATTTCACTTAATTGTTTTTTCCACAAGGCATAATTTCTTTAATGCCAACTTAATTTGTCAGAACACTATCAATACTTCGAAACCACAAAATGTCCTCTAGCTTTAATTTTCTTCAAATCATATCTATAATATAATGACAACGACACTTTTTATCTGTCGTTACACTGTAAAATTATAAGATGTTTTCTCCTCCAGTGAGGCTGCAGAAAAAAAATGACGCATAGGTTGTTACAGATGTCTCGCTACATCATTAGATCCTGGACCATTTTTTTTTTTGTTGTTATCATATCCTAATCTAGGACGACCGATCCCTTTCAGAAAAATGTATATAAGGGGATATCTATAAGCCTTTGTTAACTTGGTTTTCGCTTACAGGTCCTGCACCAGTGAAGCCAGTCCACTTCGACCTTCAGAGTGACTGCATATATAGAAGCTAGGTGTTGGAAGATGAAAAAGGTATTGTACATACTATAGTCCAAATCCGCGAATGTTCAACCAAAATGACTACAACCCATGAAATCCATGTTTTTCATTTTGCTTCGTTGCACCGCATAGCGAAGTCGCAAAGTTGGGGTTTGAGCGGTTGTCTAAAATGGGTAGTGTCCATTTATGGAAAGAAGCGTTTACCAGGGAAATGAAACCTTCAAGATATCTTGTGTATCAATAGCGAAATGTTGATCCTAATTTATAAGTCGTTTTTAGAGAGCTTTTTAAAATTTAATTTTGCACGTTTTGATCGAGAATCATGTAATGGATCCTCGTTTAGCCTATTATCCATTAAAATAACACTTCCGGGCTCCGTAACTCGAAAGCATCAAATAGAGGCTACAATGTATTATTATATGGGGCGAGTATGGGCGAGTTATGGAATCGAGACGCTTGCGCTCGGTCGCAATGCGCGATGCTTTCGAGTTACGGGGCCCAGATGGAGGGGAGTGTAAACATGACCATGAAACTGTTCAATACAGTTTCAATATTCTATGTCAATGCTGTAACTTAAGTGGTATTGAAAAGAGCTGTATTTTAGCTGGGATGCAAGATATGTATGGTCCTAGATTCTAGGTTCTAATTAAACCGGATGACAAAAAACATTCAATCATTCGTTTAACCCCGTTATTATGCAACAAATTATAAATGATAAAGCTGATTGTAAGCAGTACATGTGTTGCAATGTTATTTCACACCCCCCCTCTCTCTCACACACACACACACGCACACACACAAACACACATTTTACACTTCTGTAATTCAATTTTATCATAAATTAATTTTATCTCAGTATCTTAAAAAACATTAGGTGTGCTCCCTCTTTTCTAACTTAAAGCGAAATGCATTACAAACTACCATACATCGATGATTGAGCATGGTCTATGATGTTTATTTCAGACAACAGTCTTCGTTTTTGGGATATTCCTCGCCGTATTGTTCCACCTCAGCACTGCGGTTGACAGCGATGTCGCTGCGTCCAGAGTGAAGCGGGGTTTACCACGATGGATAAACCGTGCAATCCAAGCTGTGCCAGCGTATTGTGCCGCCACTGCTGGGGCAGCTGCGGGTCGGATGCGAAGGGCTTACTATGACATGAGGCGAGCAAACTGGCAAAACTGCGACAAATATTTCCACTGCAGAGGCAACTATGAGGCTGGACGTTTAGGTTATTGTGGTAAACTTACGGCAAAGGCTATCAGGTAAGGTTGCAGTTCCATATTTCTGTCTCTTGCACAGATATGAAAACTTCCAAAGCCGGAAATAATTACCTCTACTTAAAACCTTTGATATTTTTCATCTAGATATTGTAAATGAAATCCATATTGGTCTGTTTAAAACGTTTTTTAAAAAACTACTGCTATCATATTGCAATCATTCTGAAGGAAAATAGCGTTGCTTTGTTTTGATATATAGGTATAAATTGTTATTGTATATTGAAATGGGTTTATCTAAGAATTCAGTTGTGTGATTTCTACAGCATACAACCATAATCGTGTTTTGTCATAACGGTCGTATTTTTTTTTTTTTTTGTTCAATCCTACTCAGTGAGGCCAGGGAATGGGCGCAGAGTGGTGGATCTCACGGCTCAGATAGTGCCGAGGATAGGGTGGCAAACGACTACGGCAGAGCAGGGGGAAACTGCGTTCAGAGATATATTCTTGGTACTAGAAATACGCGTCAGGAGTGCAGTCTTCCACGACGTTTGTGGTAAAAAAAATCCGCAGACTGTAACCCCAATACCACGTCTAAGCCTTTAACCTGTGCTAATCATATGGGACCCTGGACTTCCATTCTTAGGACTCCAATTCGTTCCACACCGGTGTGACGTGACAGAGAGTCCCCATGACAGAGAGTCCGGTCCCCATTAATTTGCACAGGCAAGCCTCGCCCTAGATTTTGACCCACTCGCGTCAGGCTAACCCTAACTGTTATATAATTAAATGGAGGGTGGACTCTCTGTTACATGGACCCTCAGTTTCTTCACACCAACATACTGCAAAAAAAAAAAAAAAAAAAAAAAAAAAAACACAGATGCATGATCACGCAGTTATGAAACAATTGTCTTGACCAATTTTGCAAGAGATAGTGTACTCATATAAACTATCATTCAGCTTCGATTCTTTTGTACAGAGATTGAATTGCATTTTTGCTGAGCTTTGCGGACAAGCTATATCAATAAAATACTGTTTTCTCTTCAACTTGTTGTTTCTTGTAATTGGTTTCAAGAGGCAGGTTATGGGTATTGTGCTGTAAATGCGATGCCAGATATAGTCCCATCTTTTTCAATCACATAAAACAAAATCGCAGATTTAGGACTCCAAAGAAAGGTTAAACAAAAGTCCACAGAAAAAATCACAAAGTGAACCAAATGGCATTACATGTCCAGGAATTCCAAATTGCTGGCATGGAGCATTATTTGCGAAGAACAGAAATTAACCGCCCTTACCTCTGACAACTTACATCCAATCCGGACTAATATAAGCTTCGGGTCGTATACGCTTATTTGTTGTATATACATTTTTTGTTGTTAAACAATAATATTTTCTTTCTCATTGAAGCCATCATATCTGTTTTTGATGCAACCATTATTTAATTCTTATTTCTGATATGTACATTGAAAAAAAAAAACATCAAATACGGGATATTTGGGGATGGAGAAAAAAAACGAGGGGAAGACAAAGTGTCGCTCTGGTCTGTAAAAGAATGCAAATAACAGAGAAAAAGTTATGACCAGTAGAGTGCCTTTTGTGAATAGCTATTGAAAATTCAATGAAATTTACCAGCCAATATTTCGTCTGCTGACAGACAGACTTCATCAGGGAAATAAGGGCTGTGATAGGTATTATAACCTGCCACCCCTCAAGTGTGCTGTCTAGTCAGGTGCCCCACCCCTCCCTAAATAGTGGAAGACAGAGGTTGGGTAACTCAGTCCCATCATTTTTATTGAGCTTTGGCCCATGCAGCCTGATGTTAATAGCTTCAACTAAATAGATTTTGAAATTTCGCCAACAAAGTTAATTTCAGAAAACTTTTTTCGGACTCACCGATGAAGTAATTTTTTATAACTGACGTTTTCGTGGCATTGTCGGATATAGTCAATTTACAAGATTATGTGATTAAACTTTTTACTTCGTGGGAACTTTTTCATAAATTGACGAGGAGCCAATTACCCCTGGGTCCAACTAAACCCCGGTCTCCCAAAACTTCATCACTTAATGATATGACAAGGGGCTGACAGCAGTGTAAAGACCATGCAGTTATTTAAGCGTTTTCTTTACCTGCCACTGTACCGTGCTCGCCTGATTAGCCCTGAGGTGTTATTTTTTAAATTTATTTATTTATTCTAAGCTTGATTTGGTTTTCTAATTTGCACCTTCGTTGATAGCTTTTAAAAGTAAAACATCACCGTTATATTTATAAAGAAGTCAACTCTTCAATGTTTTTACAAAACTAATAATGTGGTATCTTTGATTTACAAGTGTCTCTTCACAAAAATTAGCTTGGAAATTTACTGGCTAATTAAATAAGTTTTTTTTTTTCAACCCGTGGTTATGTACATCACGAACGCTACCTCATTTACGTGTAGGACTGCTGTTCCTTGCTGTTTCTTCATGTCAGTGCGCGTGCCACCTTGGTATTGTCACGTGACTTGTTTTACACCGTCACATGACTTTCAGTGCTACAAAATGTCGGCCTCAATACTTCACCAGGCTCCTCAAGGTAATAATGTGCAACGATTAGCCTATGCTGTTCAGGATCAAGCACTGTCTAAACACATTAGTTTTGGGTTTTATTAGAATGTTTCCTAGTTGGTTATGACGTCGAGGAGGGTATTTTTTTTCCTATTTAAGGCAGAATTCGCACGTACCCGCGCCTACTACCGGTCCAGTAGTAGTACTATTACTTGTATTGGTATTTAATATATACGCGGACACCACTAACAGTAGTGGTAAGACACAAGTTACAATAACAGCTTCTCCCATCAACAATACCGGATACACCGTGCAGATTCATTTTATTGATAACTTGGTAGAAAGTAAAATTACTGAGACGTTATTTTCATTTATAAGTATTTAATTGACTTTGAGCAAAGTTAACTAGTCACATCATCATTACACATACATGTACCTTTACAGTATCACCAGTAACGAAAATATTCCATTCATTAATTTTGTTACGCAAAAAAAAAAAAAAAAAAGAAAAGAAAAACATTTACATTAATTTTTATCAGACAATGCATTAATAGCAAGACCATATGCCCCAAGTATCAAACTCTACTACATTGTATATATTTGCCTCGTGATTCTGATATTGCATTCTTTTAATTCCTGTTAAGGCTTCTATGGAGCAGTGGAAATAATTAATAAACTGCCACAAGATGTACTGGCAGAAATGGTAAGTGTCAACAATTATATAGATCTTTTAAAAAACTGAATATTTAAGAAAAACTATTTTGGGTAAAGTTAGACAGTCACAAGGTGAACTTTCACTTATAAGAAATCGAAAGACAAAGCACTATACTTAAAAGTTGAAGTGACATTTCACTGAATTTTTGTGTTCTAAAATCATATTTTTGAATTGCTGATAATTTTTGAAATTTGACCTGTAACTTTTTTTTTTTAGTGCCATGAAGTCATGCAGTTCTTGCAGTATAAAATTGGCAGTATCAATGTAAAAGCACTACACAATGTAAGTATATTTATTTTTCTTAAGTTATTACTGCTTTTATGGTATAAATCAAGCAGAAAAAAAACTTCCATGACTTTGATACAGCATGTAAAATTTCTCTCAAGTGCTCTTGTCATGTAAAGGTGGTGAATAATGTTTTGGTTTGTTTTTTTCAGAAGTCATTGGTTGAAAATGAAGCACTCACTGAAAAAGCCATACAAAGTTCCGTGAATGCACTTACCTATTTATTTAGGTAAATGATTGCTAGAAAATACAGTATATTTCAATGAGAATCTTTCTGTTTTGTCTTACTTTAAGTAACTATGGATACCAATACAAGGCTAAATTTCTTACTAAATCATGCCTATTGTTACGTAGTACTATATATTCTTGCTTTATCTCTTTGTTGAATTGAGGAACTTATAATACAATTGCTGTTGTTGAGATCACCAAACGCAATTTTAAATTATCTCTTTTCTGTTACATGAAGAGCTGCTGCCAGACTGAAGTACAGTACAGCAGAGTTAACATCACAGCTACAAAGCAGCTCAGCCTTCAGTGAGAGTGCACAGGCAACGTTAAAACATATATGGAACCAGCAGGTTAAAATTTTAATTCAAAGAGTATCCTATCTGCTTCCTACACACTAGGAAGGTTTGGGACACACACACACTCACACACACACACACTTTGTGATATTTTAATTTTTTTATTGTATTTTTTATGATTTGCTTTTTTTTTCTTAAAAGAATTATGTCAGTGTTCATCGATATATTCCTGTTAACTGCAACAACTCGGTTGGGATTTATCTTAACAATGAATAGAATATTCTTCTCTTTGTCTCCATCAGAGTGTACATGTATTTCCTTACTAAGTGTGTGTATGCCACTCATATCCACTGCCTCATCCCTTATATCCATTGCCTCATTACAAAATATGTGCGTCTTTACATATCAAGAAACTGTAACAGATACCGTATATGAACCTTTTTTATGGACTTTTTTATCCTCAACTTCAGGGTAAACTGCTGTTTGCTGTGGACCAAGCTAACCAGCTAATAAATGTTGGACAGGTATGTAATTCCAAGCTTTTAGTACATGGCATTGATACAAATCTTTAATATTTACAGTGTTTGCCAAGTCTTTTTACTGTAAGTTTGTTGAAACTGTCATTAAAAGAAAAAAGAGGATGCATTTAGCAGATGCTTTCATTTGTAAACTATTGTATTAAGAGTAAGTGTGTGTGTGTTTGATCATGTCTTCCAAAAAGGTGAAAGTCCTTCATCGAAGTTATGCATTTCAGTTGAGTAAAGCTGTCTCATATTCAGAGGTGGGTGGATGAACAAAGACTTCTTTTTAATTTTATATTTGGATTATTTATTTACACCTTCATTGCATGCACATGTACACATCGCAACAATAAGAGAGGAGAATGATACTTTTGAATGTGGTGTAAAACATGTTACTCCAAGGCTTAATAATTTCCCTTTCATCACTGCTGAAATTTCATCTAAAATTCTCATGTATAAATTGATTATAGTACATCTGGTGAACACCTTTACATTATTGAGATCGATGATCTTTTTGTAATATGTGATTGCTTAATTATCTTTTTATCTTATGAGCTGAATTATTTATAAAAATTTAAAAGAACTGTTGAATATTTTGATTAGACAAATCAAATTAAGTAATTTTCTAGTTGGACTAATTACTGCTTTGGATCTTAAGTAAATTTTTCACAAAGGTCATTGGCATATTAAATTTTTATTGCCCAATTGTAGGAAAATGTTTTCATAATCTCAATGCCACAGATGATTACAAACAAATTCATGTTCAAAGTTGAGATATTTTAAAAAGATGGTATATCAGCCGTATATCCTGTAAATGGGGTTAAAATTAAAAAAAAAAAAAAAAATTAATATTGCAGAAAAAAAAATTAACAAATAGATGAAAAAAATTTTAATTAAATAAATTTATAGCTATATCAGTGCTTTTTATAAACCAAAACTATTTGAAGAAAAAAAGGATTTATAGAAAATATTCTTTTACGGTAAAATATATAAAGTGGTGAAATTTGTCAAACACATTGCTAGCAGTACAAACTTTTCTGTTGTTCTTATTTTAGTTAATAGATTTCCAGTGGAAGCTAGGAGTTGCCATGAGTTCAGATGGCTGTAGGAACTTGAACACGCCATTTGTAACTGTCTTACTTAAAGTAGCTGACCCAACTGGTCATGTGACTACACGCTCATTTGAAATGACCGTTATACAATTTCAGGTAAGCATTTTTAAAAGTAATATTTACCCCAAAAGTTGTGTACAGTGCCTTTTTTAGATTTGTCCGAGGGTTAACGATTGATGTGAAATACTTGTAACAAAATCTGATCTTGCTTTACGTACATTTCCTTCATGCACAAAGTCAAGTTCATCTTTATCATTGATGAAAAACATTGGTTCCAAACCTATTGTCTTGATAATCTTTTAAGTTTACTTCCAGTGCCTTGTGAGATTTTATTATTTTTTTAAAGGTAGAATGTTTCAAACATGGCATATGTGAGTCATATGAGGGTGGCCAACAATAAAATGTTTTATTTCTTTTAATTTACCTTAAAATTGAATTTCAGTTTTTAGGATTTTGATCTTAATACTTCTGTCAGATTTTTAAATCCAATTTCATGATAACCTTTTTCTTTGCAGAATTTTTCTAAACAAATCAAAGAAATGGCTGCAGTTCTCGAAAGTGTTTGAAAATGATCACATGCACTATGACTTCTCTGGACTACTCTCAATAAAAACGATGTAGATTCTGCAAGTCGGCATAATAGGAAGGCCTTGTTTATGCAGGACAGGAAGACATGCTATCAGGATGAACTTTTAGCGTGGTCTCATTTCTTAAATCTTTTCAATGTAGACCCGTTGGGGACATTGGTGTAATGTAATCTGAACAGTGAAACAAAGTTAACTGCATTGCTTCTTGCAGAGGCTAGGGTTTGAACCTATACTTCCTAGTGGTCATTGTTAATTCACTTCAAATTGTTCTGAAGCAGAAGTGGGGCAAATGGATTTTGAGATAAAAAATGTTGTTGGCGTAGAGGTAATTAAGAAAAAAATCAAACATTCAGGATACATTATCGAATCAATTCTTTCTCAAACATATAGTTATTCATATTTTCTTATAGCATGCTCAGTTATTATTTATTTTGGATATTTACTGCAGTGTGAAGGGGGCAATCGTACCAATTTTGAAAGAGCATGCAGTCTAAATGATACCTATAAAAGCAAGCAGTCTCTTGCTGTTTATCATTTCCATGATTTTTCTTTAATAATATATGCACAAATCCTGTATAATTGATTATGCAGAGGTTATAAAGTGAAACAAACATTTCTAGTCTTCCGCTATTCATTTAAATTTATTCTGAAAACAAACATTCTGAATTCATTTGAAGCCATAAGCTTACCTATGTGATCTGGCAACAATAAATATAATTACACTTTTGATGTGCTTGTGTGTCTTTCCTATAACTAGACAGCAAATTCTTCAAAACCATTACTTCCCAAGTCTGACAAAATATATACGTATATACTCAATAAAATGTTTGCAAATACAAACTTCAAAGATGGTAAAGTAATGGATTTTAATGCTCTTTTGATATCAGTTTCTTAACTGAAAAAATAGATGTTTTTAATTGTCTATCATGGACATTCAGGCCAAAAAGAAGCATTTAAGCACAAACAAATTAAATGGATAATACCAGTTGTAGTATACAGTACTAGAGCAATGAGTAACACATGCTTGATGCGAAATAACTGTGAATTCGCACACATTACAAAAGTAAATAAAATAATAAAGGTTGAGTTACAGAGGGATCCCCAGTATGTCCTTATAGCAGGCAAAAAAAGATCCCTACCACAAACATACGATGCATAATATCAATAATTTAACTCACTTGACATGCACGGCACATAATATTGTTCTTCAATTATACCTATAAACATTAAAACTTTGAAACCAAGCATAGATACTGGTATACAGGTATGTAAACTAACAACTTCAATTGTTTACACCATTTTCAGTATTCACCACTGAAAACCTACAGAAAAACTGCTTATTCATGTTGAGAAGCGGAGCAAGTGTTCACAATGAAGAAAGACCGTTATGCACTAAGTCAAGTAACCCGCAGTCTATCCATGTGAACATGTTCATTTATACTGCGTACAACAACCAACACTGAATTATAAATCACACATAATGTACATTGCCTGACTAATCATGTCTATTTACATAATAACAACAATAACAAACAAATTGGTATAGCTTTGGATTGGCATCTCTATGTAAGCCTCTTATTCCTTCAACAATCAACTCCATTGCTTTCCAGAAGCAGATCTGTAGTTATAAGAGAAATATTTTTGATTAAGTTACACATTCCTTTCAGTATTTCCATCCTACCCTTAAACTATTCTCATCGCAGAAGACAGATCTACACTTTGTGAACTGCAATATTGGCAGGGTGGATGAATAATGACTGGACTTGTAAACAGTAATGAAAATTCTTCCACTTGTTAATCATGGATGAGTTTCGTAAACAAAAATTGTCTTTAACTGCATTATTAAAATAACATTACATTTGACTCAAGTCCACTGCAACTACAAATATTTTACCAGTATTTTCTGTACATACACTAATCTAACCTACTAAGTCAACCCGTAACACTGTACAATAATTGCACATGTAAATAATTATTAAACTCGGCAGAAAAAAAGGACCAACTGGGTCAAGAAGTATAAAGGCTGCTTTTATGGATAATGAATATATAAGTGCCCCCCCC